TTGGGGGGGGGGGGGGGGGTCCCCATATCAGCGGATTAATCACACATGCCAATAGATATTGATCCTTCTGAATGAAAATTAGAAATGTGTGTGCGCATTTCACCTTGCCCTTGTGTGTCTCCTGCAACCAGCGGCGCAGGCGAATCAGACAGCTCTCCTGAAGGGGTGTGAGGTCACCCAGATAACGTTTGATGTAGTCTGCATCCAGTTTATCTAAACATAGACTGAAACAAATTACATCTAGCACATCTTAAATAAACAATGTTTATATGAAACGTTAAAGGTATAGTTCACCAAAAAATTCAGTCATTAATTACTCAACCGTCGTTCCAAACCTGCAAGACCTTTGTTCATTTTTGGAACACAAATTAAGTTGTTGTTTATGAAATCTGATCGCTTTCTGACCCTGCATAGACGGCAACGGAACTACCACGGTCAAGGCCCAGAAATGTAGTAAGGACATCATTAAAATAGTCTATATGATATCAGTGGTTCAACCTTAAATTTATGAAGCTACAAGAATACTTTTTCTGCGCAAAGAAAACAAAAATAACGACTTCCTTCAATGTTTTCTTCTCTTCCGGGAAGAAATCATTGTGCCATTCACGAGAGTACCACGACGGAAGCGTGTACATTCCTCTGCTTGTAAACAAGGTGCAGCACATGCGTGATTCTACATTAGAACACCGGCTCCTGTATCAGCAGCACCACACGCATGCATCGCAGTACTCTTGTGAATGTGCAGTGGAGATTGACACGGAAGAGAAGAATTGTTGAATAAAGTCAACACACAAAAAGTATTCTTGTAGCTTCATAACATTACGGTTAAACCACTAATGTCATATGGACTATTTTAACAACGTCCTTACTACATTTCTGGGCCTTGAATGTACTAGTTCTATTGCTGTCTATGCAGGGTCAGAAAGCTCTCAGATTTGATAAAAAATATCTTAATTTGTGTTGCGAAGATGAACGAAGGTCTTACTGGTTGAGTAATTAAGGAAATGCTTGGATAAACTATCCCTTTAAGCTGAACAAATGTTCCCAAACAAACTCTAAATTAAAGTTTTTTTAATGCTAAGTTTTAATAAACAGAAACATGCTATATTTGTGGTATAATTTTGAGGCAAAGTACAAAAGGGAAGGCAAAAAGAATACAATGTTCTAATATCATGTAGAAAAGGTCAGAGTGGCAACAGTGTTGGTACTAACCGTCTGGACTGGCTACAAGGGCGTCATTCAGGCTGCCCAGAGGACTGCTGCCCTCTTTACACACTTGAATCTCATTCATGCTCTCAGGAGGGGCTTCAATGGTGATTGTGGGAGTGATAGGCAATGCAGGGATAACAACTGGCACCATGGGCTTTGTGGGTGATGGTGGGCAAGGGCTCCACCGAGGTACGCAAGTTACACCTTCTTCCTCTAGCTCCCTCAGGTAGTATTCAATAATCTCCTTACCCTATAGAGAAATAAGAACACATCACTCACTTTTCACTACTTCCTTTTTTTTTTTAGATGATAAATACACATGCATTAAAGACGTCACAAAAAAGACGCAAGTTTATGGGAGACAACAGACTTTCTGTGAAATACAATACACAAACGGTCTTCGTAATTCGGAGGAAAAAACACTAACATAACATCTCTCCATTAAAGACGTGACAGTTCTGAAATTGGAATTTATCTGATTACTGAAACATGCATAAAATATTTAAAAGAAAAAAAAAAACTAAGAGAGACCTCTTGTGAGTTTTTAAATTCTGACCTTTCAGTTAATTGACTTAAAACTGAAACTGTAATGCAAATTGTTATGGATTATTTATAGCATGCGATTAAATAGCATGTGTTCTCGCCATCTCTCATGCTGTTAATTGTAACCAGTGTAACACCAGCATTAAAATACCTCTACACCAGTCTACAGCAGAGACAGTTATAACCTAAAAGTTATAGTTTTTAAGTTATAACCTAAAAACTGTTTAGGGCTGCACCCTAATAGTCAACTAAACGTTAAGTTGACTAAAATTTTATTAGTTGGTTATTCACAGAAAAAACTGTCCATGACAGATAGATTGTTAACTGCTGGTACTTGAGGATCAGCAGTTAACAATATAACTGCTGGTCATATTTACCAGCAGTTAAATATGCTGGTATATATCTAGTAATTATATGCTAGATATAATTACATTATATCTAGCAAAAAATTGCATCATTCATTGACCTCAAATATGGCTTATCATTGAAACATTTAAGTAGTAGCAACTTTACACGGCCATTTGCTCTAATGTTACACTAGATAAATGTGCTTTATTAGGTACATATCCAAGTGTTTGGGCAGAGTGTGGAAGGTGTTAGCACTCTTACTGCATGACATGGAGGCACCGGCGCAATCACTGGCATTTTTTCCTAATAACAGTGGAAAAAACTTTAAATATGCTGTCATTTTTGCTCATACAGATAAGAGTAATAAATAATTCAAAACGGTCAAGGGATTTATTTTACTTTTATACACTCACAATATCAAGATGATCTTGAAATGTCTACTTTAAAATTAACCAAATTAAAGGGGTCATGAACTGAGAAACCAAAATTCCCTTGATCTTTTGACATAAGAGGTCATTGTACTATAAAAATTTCAGAACTCGAAACTTTCTCGTTAGTCTAAAAACAGCTTATACTGAAGCCAGTCTGCCTAAATGACAGCTTGTGGAATGTACCACTCTATGATGTAATAGTGTGGCTAAACACCACCTCCGCAGAAGAAGATCAACGCCTGCTTCTACATCACTGCCTGTTTAGCCCTGCCCACCGATTCACGCATGTAGTGTGTTTACGAGAGAGGTGAACACAGGTCTACGCTGAAACCAAACAATAAAGATGGCTCTGATGACAAGAAGTGTCTTTCAGTGCCAAGTTGTAGAAAAACAATCTTTGCATTGCCTTCCTTCTGATCCCAACGTTAGAAAAGAGTTGATGAAGTTCCAGGCCACGTCAGTAAGAACTTGGTCCTACAGTATGTTTACTTAATTTTACTGCGGATTCGTTTACAAACAAGGCACAATTTGATGCAGGATATTCAGAAAGATGATAAAGACGATGCTGTGCCGACTATATTGGATCCGTCGCAACACAAAAGCTTTTACGTGATCACTATTGCTTTGTCTGTTAAACAGATTGTTTAAACCTCATGGCCCTGACAGAGACATGGATCAAACCAGAGGATACTGCTACTCCTGCAGCACCCTCCAATAATTTCTCATTTTCCCACACTCCCCGTCTAACTGGAAGAGGTGGAGGTACTGGTCTGCTTATCTCTAATGATTGGAAATGTATTCCTTTACCTTCTCTGGGTATTAGCATGTCCTTTGAATCACATTCAGTCACTATTACTCACCCTCTTAACATCCATTTTGTAGTCGTTTATAGACCCCCAGGACCACAAGGTAACTTCTTGGATGAATTAGATGTGCTGCTTTCAACCTTTCCTGAGGATGGTACTCCCCCCTAGTTATGCTCGGAGACTTCAACATTCACCTAGATAAACCTCAGGTTGCAGACTTCCACACTCTGCTTTCCTCTTTTGATCTCAAGAGAGTGTTAACTATGGCTACTCACAAATCAGGCAACCAACTGGACCTTATTTACACACGACACTGCTCCACTGATCATGTACTGATTACTCCACTGCACACCTCGGATCACTTCCTCCTCACTCTTAACCTCAACATGGTTCCTGACACAACACATACCCCTCCACATGTCATCTTTCGACGTTACCTACGCTCACTCTTACCCTCCCGGCTATCTGCTATGGTTTTATCTTCGCATCTTCCCCCTAAACAGTTAGCATCTCTTGATGCTAAAAGTGCTACTGATACTTTCTGCTCCACTCTTACATCTTGTTTAGACAGTGTCTGCCGCCCCTTGTCTTCCAGGTCAGGCCGTACCACCCCTTCTCCCCCTTGGCTGTCTGATGTTCTCCACGAGCATCGTTCTAAGCTCAGGGATGCTGAAAGGTTGTGGCGCAAATCAAAAAATACTACTGACCTTAATGTGTATCAGTCACTCCTCTCTTCCTTCTCTGCTAATGTCTCCACTGCTAAAAGGACATACTATCATAAAGTTAACAATTTGTCTAGCTCTCACATGCTCTTTAAAACATTTTCCTCCCTCCTTTGTCCTCCTCCTCCACCTCCTTCATCAACTTCAACAGCTGACGACTTTGCCACATTCTTCACTAATAAAATGAAAACCATCAGTGCACAATTTTCCATACCACAATCTGTCAAGCACATCTTACCAGCAAACATACACTCGTTCACATCCTTCTCTTCACTCTCCGAGGCAGAAGTCTCCAAACTCATCCTTTCTAATCATCCTACTACTTGTTCGCTTGATCCTATTCCATCTCATCTCCTTCAAGCCATTTCTCCTGCAGTTGTACCCGCACTCACTCACATCATTAACACATCCCTTCACACTGATGTTTTTCCCTCAGCATTTAGACAGGCTCATTCAACCGAGACTGCTTTGCTCTCAGTTGTTGAAGCCCTAAGACTGGCAAGAGCGGATTCCAAATCTTCAATAATTATCTTGCTGGATCTGTCCGCTGCTTTTGACACGGTTAACCACCAGATCATCCTGTCAACCCTATTAGCAAAGGGCATCTCAGGAACCACACTCCAGTGGTTTGGGAGTCTCATCTCTCAGATAGGTCCTTCAAGATATCTTGGAGAGGTGAGGTGTCCAAGTCACAACATCTAACTACTGAGGTGCCTCAGGGCTCAGTTCTTGGACCACTTCTCTTCTCTGTCTACATGGCATCACTAGGTTCTGTCATTCAGAAACATGGCTTTTCATATCACTGCTATGCTAATGACAATCAACTCTACCTCTCATTCCAACTTGATGATCCGACGATAGCTGCTCGCATCTCAGCTTGTCTAACAGACATTTCTTGCTGGATGAAGGACCATCACCTTCAACTCAACCCAGGTCTTCCAGCCAGTTCTATCAAACCTTTACAATTAATCCAGAACGGGGCAGCAAGATTAATTTTTAACGAGCTGAAAAGAATGCACGTCACATCTCTGTTTATCAGTTTGCACTAGCTACCAATAGCTGCTCGCATAAAATTCAAGGCATTAATGTTTGCCTACAAAACCACCACTGGCTCTGCACCCCATTACCTAAATTCATTACTTCAGACTTATGTGCCCTCTAGAATCTTGCGTTCTGCACGTGAACGGCACTTTTTTGTGCCATCCCAAAGAGGCACAAAATCACTTTCTCTGACTTTTAAATTAAATGTTCCCTCCTGGTGGAATGACCTGCCCAACTCAGTCCGAGCAGTATAAGCATTCTTCAAGAATCGGCTAAAAACACATCTCTTCCATCTTTATTTGACCCTCTAACTCTAGCACTCTCTATTCTAATTCTATTCTTTATAAAAATAAAAACAACTTGCCCCTTTTAGACTTGCACTCTATTTATTTACTAACTTGTTTTAAAATTTAAAAAAACGAACACTTGCTTCTCTAATCTTTTTGCATTCTATATATTTGTTTTCTTTTTATTTATTATACAATTATAATTCTGACTTTCTGACTTCTGATTAACAAAAGCAAAAAAGGCCTCTAACTGGCTTGCGCTATTCTTTTTCTATTCTATCTGTTTTTTTTAATTTATTACATGATTTAAAAAAAAAACTTGCTACATGTACTGCATTACGCTAAGACTTGTTATAGCACTTGCACATCATTGCTCTTGTTGATTTTGATTGCTTCCATTGTCCTCATTTGTAAGTCGCTTTGGATAAAAGCGTCTGTTAAATGTCTAAATGTAAAAAAAATGTTGTTTTATGCTGCATTCCAGACATTTGAATTTTTCCCAACTCTTTCTGTCAGGTAATCAGAGGCGGAGAACACGGATGTAAGTATAGATGGTTTCAACGGCAACAACATAAACAAATGTTACTGTGAATGCATGCTTTTGTGGCCAAAACTTAAAGATGCAATAGGTGATTGTCTTCAGAAACATTTTTTGTTATGCTGATTGAAAGTCTCTTCACATCCCAATAGCAATCATTACGTTAAGTGGTCTAAATATATTTATCTGTATTTATAAAATTTATATAAGGCGTAGGACCAAGAAATTAGCATACGCACAGACAGGATACGTCAATAGTGTGTTCACGCACGCTGCGCAGACAGAGCGAAAATGGCAGACAAACATCAACAACCCGATCGTCCTTCCTGGTATTGTAGTACATTTACTAACTGTAATTTATAAGGTTTCTCACCGGTGACACATGATGTAGCCCAGTGGTTCTCAATTCCAGTCCTCGCTCTGCATATTTTACATGTCTCGCTTAGTTAACACACCTGATTCAGATAACCAGCTCGATAGAAGTGAGCTACATGCATGAACTGTGTTCCGATTGACATGCTCCCTACTCCCTGA